CTCTTCTCTTCTCTTCTCTTCTCCTCTTCTCTTCCCCCTCTCTTCTCTTCTTTTCCCCCTCTCTTGTCTTCCCCCCCTTCTCTTCTCTTTTCTTCTCTTCTCTCCCCTCCTCCCTGCTCCTCTCCTCTCCCTTTTCCCCTCTTCTCTCCTTTCTCCTCCCCTCTTCCCAGTAAAGTATGCATGGAGGATGTCACATGCATTTCCAGATTAAATGCAGGCTAAGAGTTGTAGCACCTGATCCTTTTCTGGGGTCCTCTCTGCAGCTGGTAGCACACACGTGTCCACACCAAGCACTCTGCTGCCCTCAGTTCTTCTCTCCCTGCAGGGGAGGTTAGTCACTTCCCATGAGGAGGGCTGGAAACCTCTACCTAGTTCTGCCTTCGGGGATAGAACTGGGCTTCTGACCCTTCTCATGCCATGTGTCCCTTTGGCAGTCTGATGAAGTTTATGGGCTCCTTCTCAGAGTAATGTTTTTAAATGCATAAAATAAAATACATAGAATTACCAAGGAAACAAATCATCATGGTTATCAAAATATTAAAAATACCAAATTCATAGACTCCCACCTGTAATCTTTCCCCAGACCCCAAGTTAAGAACTTCTGGTACAGACATTGATCTCTTGGGAAGTGAGTAGCCACCCCTGCCACATCTCTGCCATTGTTAAATCAGAGAATTTTAGTATCTAGAACAGGGGTGGGGAACCTGCAGCCTCGGGGCCACATGTGGCCCTCTAGGTCCTTAAGTGCGGCCCTTTGACTGAATCCAAACAAATCCAAGATTTGTTCTGTAAAACTTGGACTCAGTCAAAAGACTGCACCCAAGGACCACACATGGCCTCGAGGCCGCAGGTTCCCCACTCTGAAGAAGGCAGAAGGCACCTCAGAAGCTATGTAGTCCAATACCTATCATAGCAGGGCTTCCCCCAAAAAGAGTGGTTGAAGCTGCTTAATGGGAGAAAGCCTTTAATATATTAGTGAGGAAGTAACTAATTGACTGTGTTTGAAATTTGGACCTGGGCCCAGAGGCTCTGTAGCAGCAGCACTACAAAAACAAGCAAGGGAAGAGGAAAAAAAGGAATTGTTCTCCATCCCATATACCCTTGTTCCCCAGAGGCTCATTTCCTGGAAGAGGGCACAATCATGGCCAAATCCCAGGGGGGACCACTTGGCCAGAGGCTGTCAACGCCTGGTGCCCCCACCCACATGTGAACAAGAGCCCCCAGGCAGGAATCAGACCATCTCTCACTGCACCATCATTAGAGTTGTTTGGTTTGTTTTTTCCCCAGCTTTACTGGATTTTTATCCTATACTACTACGGGCTTCCCCAGTAGTATGCTCCTTTACTGATGCTGTAGGGGTAGTGACCTGTCTGTCGCTGTCCACTGCTGCCATAGTCTACAAATGGCTTTAGCATGGATGTCCTCTGTCTTTTCCCTCACTTACCTGAGGTAGAGGTTGAGGTTCTCAAGGGGACCTTAGTAGCTTTGGTAGAAAAGAAGATAAAGCTAACTCACAGAATAGAGAGCTTTTGAGTTACAGGCCCCAGGAGTTTTATCCTATGATGTCTTTATCTAGCCACAGAGGCCAGCAGTTTCCTTGTCCCATTCCCACCTGACTCACTTCTAGGCCTGACCCAATTACATGGCAAGCTAGACTACTTCTGCCCTCTTTCTAGCCTTCCCTAAAGCCAATTCCCTTTTTTCTCCCCAATTGGTGCGCCTTCTATACCCTTCCTATTTTCAGTCTTGGGCCATTGAAGACCTACATTCAAGGCTTATTAAATTTGCAAAGGACATGGAGCTGGGAGGGATAGCTGATATATTGAATAACAGGGTCACTGAATGACAAGCTAGAAAGATTGGCCAAATCAAATAATATGAAATTTAATAGGGGTATATAAACACTCCTATACTTGAGTTCAAAAAAAATCAACTACACAAAACCAGGATGGGAGATGTATGGTTAGACAACAGTTTGTGTGGAAAAGGTTTGGGAATTTTAGTGACCTGAAAACTGAATCACTCAATCAATGAATGAACCATCAGTTAAATGCCAGGCCCTGCTAGGTGATAAGGATACAAAGGCAGAGAAGACACAGTCCCTACTCTTTAGGGGTTTAAATTCAAAAGGAGGAGGCAGCCTATGTACATCTAAATACGTACAAAATGTATACAAGGTAATATTTGAAGGGAAGCAAAAACAAAAGGGATGACCAGGGAAGGCTTCATGTGGGAGATGTCACATGAGACTAGTTTAACCAAAAATAAGGGTTCCAAGAGTTAAAGGGGAGGAGGAAAGAAATTCTAGGCACGCGGACAGCTTGTGCAAAGGGGCAGAGAGAATAGATGGAAGGCTGGGAATGAAGAACCACAAGTAGGCTAGCTTGGTTGGACCGAAAAGTGCAAGAAAGGGAGTAATATGGGATAAGGCTGGAAAGGCAGGCTGAGGCCAGGTTATGAAGAGCTTTAAGGGCACATAGATGAGTTGATATTTGAATGAGCCAATAGTATAACATGGCAACCTGATATAAATACTTCACGATGTTATCATGCTTACAAATGTGTGAAACAGCATTTTTACCACTACAACCCAGTGTGGTGGGTACCATGGGCATTATTAGCCCCATACTACAGATGAGAAAACTCGTGCTCTTAGAGGTTGTGTGTTGCGAGAGGTCATCCCCCTAGTCAGTCTCTGGGGCTTTGGCTCCAGATCTCAAGATGGTGAATCCAGCACTCTAGCCAGTAGGCTGCCTTGAGACATGTGACCCTAAGCTGGATCAATAGGGGCAATGTGTCCAGAGCATAGGAGGTGATAGTCTCACAGCAATGATAACAGCTAGGATTTATGTATCGTTTTGTATACAAAGCACTTTATATGTGCTAACTCACTCAATCCTCACAACAATCCTGGGAGGTAGGAGTTCTTATCTTCATTTTACAGACATGAAAGAATCATTATCATCAGCATCATTATATCTAGTGTTTATATAGTGCCTACTATGTGCCAGGCACTCTACCAAGCACCTTAAAAATATTATCTTATTTGATCCTCACAACAACCCCTGGGAGGTAGGTGCTATTATTATCCCCATTTTGCAGATGAGGAAACTGAGTCAGGCAGAGGTTAAATGACTTGCCCATGGTCACACAGCTAGGGAGCATCTGAGGCAGAATTAGAACTCAGGAATTCTTGACTCTATGTCCCGTGCTCTATCCACTGCACCGCCCAGCTGTAATCTGCCTTCTTTAGATGACATCTGCAATATTGTGTTTAATTCTCAGGAGTCAAAGTTTAGAAAGGACATTGATAAACTAGCACATTCAGAAGGTGATTAGGATGGTAAGAGAACTAAAAACCATGCCATAAGAAAATTACTTGAAAAGACTAGTAATTTAGCCTAGACAAGAGAAGACACAGGGAAGGGCAGGGCACGATATGTCCCTTTAAATATCTGAAGGGCAATTATATGGAAAGGAGAATAGATTTAGTCAGCTTGGTGTTAGAGGGCCGAACTATGAGCAATAGTGGATTTTGCAGAGAAATAGGGTTAGTATATAAAATTGCTTGCTTCCTCAATGAAGGGGGAGGAGAAGGAGCAAATTTGAAACTCAAAATTTTTAAAAATGAAAGTTTAAAATAGTTTTTACATGTAATTGGGGAAGAATAAAATATCCAATAAATATATTTTAAAAAAGAAATAGGGTTAGGCTCTACATAACAAAAGTTACCCAGCAATTTAAGCCATCAACAGGGGAATGGGCTGCCTTAGAAGGTGGTGGGTTTCAGGTCACTGGATGGTTGTCTTCTAGCAGAGGGTGGAAGATGATCTGTTAAGGAGGTGGATGAAGAGATTCTTGGTCAGATATGGATCACCTAGTATTAGGTCCCTTCCAGCTTTGAAACTCTGTGGTTCTGTAACAATCATAATAGCTAGCATTTATATACCACCTCAAGGTTTGCAAAGTGCTTTACAAATATTATCTTATTTGCTACTCACTATAATCCTTCAGGTGCTAGCTCCATTTTCCCCTTGAGGAAATTGAGTTAAACAGTGATTAGGTGACTTGTCCAGGGTTACACAGCTAATAAGTTTCTGAGGATAGATTTGAACTTAGGTCTTCCTGACTCCAGGCCCAGGTCTCTGTCCACTAAACCCCCAGCTGCCATGACCTCAGATGCCATCTTAGTCTACCCCTTTCATTTTACTGGTGAAGAAACTAAAGACCATTGGGGGAAAGTGACTTAACTAAGGTCATAGAGTCATACACTTAAAGTTGCAATGGACCTCAGAGGTCACCTAGTTCAACCCCCTCATTTTACAGATGAGGAAAGGGAAGTCTGGGAAAGCTAAGGACTTGTGACACCTGTGTAGTTGTAATTCCGACCAGTGCCTCAGATTGGATGGGACTTGGTGGAGAGCCCAGGAAATTAGAGAAAGTGCAGGAACAAAGAGGAAGGCTCTGAGCCCAAAAGTTGGTTCATGCAATCCATGCATGGTGCCCATGAGCATCAAGCTGCAGACGTCCCATAGAAGAGTGCAAGGAGCATTGGCTAGCTGTTGGGAGGGGTGGGGGGAAGCGCGGACTTTTAAGCCCAGCTGGGGAGCAGGTTTATAGTCTAAGCCAACATGGGACAAATGATGATCTCCATAGAGAGGTGCCAGCTGCAACTCATTCTCCTGCTCCTGCCTCAGATGACTGTTTCCCTGAGGCACGGATGGTGGGAGGCATTGATTTTGTGAAATTGCAGGCAGGGATGAACAGAGCAGGGCCAGAAATTATGTAGTCATTGGTCTCTGAAGATGCTTAGAGAATGTCAATGAGACTGGGAGGATTGAAGAGAAAACAGGTAGGTTGGGATGGGAGTTTGGAGGACCTGGAGAGGTCTGAAGTTTCTGCTACACAGATCTAAAGCTATGCTGCTGGCGTGCTGTGTGACCCAGACTGAATCACTTTCCTTTTCTGTGCAGGATTATCCCTGTGCAATGGGATTATTTAAGCCTGTCTAGCCTTCTTCAAAGAGACAAAACTAAGGGCTTGGATTGCCTTGAAAGCAAATATGGGACATGCAGAGAAGAGATAAGTTGATGGTTGGGTTTTGCAAAAAGCAATTGAAACCCAACTTGTGAATTATTTCCTAGGAGATCAGAAAGCAAGTTAGTTAGGCAAAGCCTGGACAGATCAGCTGATTTGCTCTTAATGAGTTTATAATTAGGATTTAAACTCAGAGTTTCTAATTAGCCAGCCCTGAGGATCATATCTGATATTGCCACAATTTAGAGAACTGGTGGCCAGGGTCAAGATGGAGCAACCTTTGCTATACAGGTCAGGCCCATTCTCGGGAGGCTAGGCCAGAGACTCTCAGACTTTCCAGGGACTCAGGCTGCTGCCATACCCCATACCTCATACTCAGTCCAGTGGTTCTTCTCTCCTTTTTCTCCTCCTCACTTCTCCCTCCCCTACCCAGAAAAGGGCAAAGACTCCACTGTACAAAAGGCCTACTTTACTTTAGGAAACCCATTTCATAGAATCTCAGAGTTGGAAGGTACCTGTTTGGCATACGAGGCCCTGTACGACCTGACTCCAGTCTATCTTACCAGACTTATTATATACATGGCTCCTCTTCACATACTTCAGTTAAACTGACCTTGTGGACCATTTCATGTGTTATTACATCTCCCACCTCTATACCTTTGCATTGGCCACTCCCCGTGCCTAGAACATGCTCTCTCCAACCCTTAGAATTCTTAGTGTTCTTTAAAGCTCAATTCAAATATGTCCTCTTCTATGAGACTTTCCTGACATCCCTCATCTACCTTTCTGTCCCCCAAAATTATCTTGTATTTTTTATACATGTTATCACCTCTGATAAAATGTAAGCCATTGAGGTCCTTTGTATTTGTATCCTTGGGACTTCACAAAATGCTTGGCACATAGTAAATAAGTGCTTAAAAAGACTTGTGGGGGCAGCTAGGTGGCACAGTGGATAGAGCACCAGCCCTGGAGTCAAGAGGACCCGAGTTCAAATCTGGCCTCAGACACATAACACTCACTAGCTGTGTGACCCTGGGCAAGTCACTTAGCCCCATTGCCTAGCCAAAAAAAAAAAAGAGAGTTGTGGACTCATTGCTGGATTGGCCTCAGAGGCCATCTGGGCCCACATTAACCTGGCCAAGAATCTCTTTCTAATGCAGCCCCCAAAAGTAGTCATCTTGTCAGTACCTGAAGACCTTCTTCAGTAAAGGGCTTACTACCTTTCAAGGTAGCCCATTTGACATTTGAATATCCCTAGTTAGGAAATTTTTCCTCATACTGAATTTAAAAATTTCTGTTGACGTCACTGACTGTCCAAGTTTGTCCTTCTTTTTGGGGTCAAGCAGAAGAAGTCTATTCTTTCTTCACACAACCACAGAATTTAGAGTTAAAAGGCACCCTATTGACCTATCTGCTCTAATCAACAAGATTTGTTAATTACTTGCTGTGTACCAGGTGTTGCACCTCGGTGGCACAGTGCATAGAGTGCTGGGTCTGAAGTCTTCCTGAGTTCAAATCTGGCTTCACACACTTACTAGTGGTGTGACCCTGGGCAAGGGACTTAACAATGTTGGCCTAAGTCTCCTCACCTGTAAAATAAGCTGGAGAAGGAAATGGCAAACCACTCCAGTATCTTTGCCAGGAAAACTCCAAATGGAGTCATAAAGAGTCAGACATGACTGAAACGACTGAACAACAACACCACTAGGTGTTGCACCAGGATTAGGGGATACAAATACAACTGTGAGCCAGTCTCCACACTCAAGGATTTTACATTCTATTGGGGGTAGAACATGTATATACATGTATAGGTATTTACCAAGTATATACAGAATAAAGACAAGATAATGTTGGGGGAGGGCACTAGTATCTAAGGAGATTAGAAAAGGTCTTATGTAAAAGGTGGTGCTAGAGCCGGGTTTTGAAAGAAACAGGGAGTTGGAAGAGACAGAGATGAAGAGGGAATGCATGCTGGACATGCAAAGCTAACTCCTCCTAGAGGCAGGAGATAGAACAACAAGCAGCCAGTTTGGCAGCCTAGCATTCACAGGAAGGCATATAATTTGTAATAAGTTTGGAAAGTTAGGTTAGAACCAGATAGAAGGCTTTAAATGCAAAAAAAAAAAAAAGCAAAAAACAAACAAACAAAAGCAAAACAAAACAAACAAATTGTATTTTAACCTAAGGCAATGGAGAGCTACTGCAGCTTTTTAAGGGGAAGAGTAGAATGATCAGGTATATGAACATGGTATTTGTTTGGAGGATACATTGGACAGGGGAGGGACTAGATACAAGGGTACCAATAAAGATGCCCTAATTGCAGGTGGGAAGTAACGAGGGCCTGAACTAGGGTGGCTGTAATACAACCCATACCGGAAAGGAAGACCCATTATAACATGCTGGCATTTACCATTTCCTGAGGCTGATCTTCCTACTTTGGACACCTCTCTTTGTTAGGAGGGCAGCTAGGTGGCACAGTGAATACAGTCCCAGGCTTACAGTCAAGAAGACTCCTCTTCCTATGTTCAAATGTGGCCTCAGATACTTCCTAGCTGCGTGACCCTGAGCAAGTCACTTCACCCTGTTTGCCTCAGTTTCCTAATCTGTAAAATGAGCTGGAGAAGGAAATGGCAAACCACTCCGGCATCTGCCAAGAAAACCCAAATGGGTTTTCAAATGGGGTCATGAAGAATCAGATACAACTGAATTGACCAATAACAGCAACAAATTTGTTAGGAAGATTTTCCTGACATCAGACTTCAATCTGCCTCTTTGTAACTTCTGCTCAAAGAACCAGTCCAATCCCTCTTCCCCTTCAAAGATAGGCAGCCGTCCTGCACCGCAAGCCTTCTCCAGGATAAACATTCCCAGTTCCTCTAGCCTATCTTTGGTGACATCTTAGGACTTTGCTGTTCTTCCCTGGGTTCTCTCTGGCTTGTCAATGCCCTTCCTTATCCGTGGCATCAAGAACACAATATTCCAGAAGGGTTTGCCCAGGGCAGAGTGCAGAGGAACCACCACCTCCCATTCCTGGAAGCTGTGCCTCACTTTGGGTGGTCCAAGGTCACCCTGGCTCTTTTGGTTGCCACGACACACTGCTAAGTCACATTGAGTCGCAGTCCACGGAAACCCTAGATTCTTTTCAGACAAGTATGTTTTACATCTTTGACGTGATGACCCTTCAAATCCTTCAGGACACCTCTCATGTCTTTTCTTTGGGGAAAGAGATCATCTGCTGGCTGCTGATGGCCAAGGAAGGAAGGAAGCTGGGGAGCCTGGAGAAGGGATGGGGGAGGCTCATAGGTTTGGGGTATCATGTCCAACTTCTAACCTCCACTTCTCCGTTCTCTCCCACAGTCGCACTACCGTCCTTTCTATGTCAACAAGGGCAATGGCATGGGCTCCAATGAGGCCCCTTGAGCCCCCAGGAGTGAGATGCCAAGAGATCGCCTGACCCTTCCCCAGTTGTATCTGCTACTACTATCTACTCAGCTACTGCTCTGTCTCCAGGAGGTCTGGGCTGGGGGGGAACATGACCTTCCAAGGACTGTCCTCTCTCTCCCCTCCAGCTTCCCCAGTCCTCCAACCTTTCTGACAATCCTAGAATTTGTCAGCAACTCCCCCCTTAGCTATACTGTGCTTGGTCCCCCGTCTGCTCAGGCCTCTGTCCTTTGCTTTTCCTGTAGTCAGAGAGGACTCTGTCACCTCCTTCATTTCATGGGTCAGGATACGGTTCACAGAAGGGGCTGTCCCTCCATCCCCCACCCACACAGTAAGTCCTTCTGCAGATCCTGGGATGGTGGCTCTGGAGGTAGGCACCCATTTGGCACCAGCCTGCCATTCCTGCCTGGCGTCTCCTCTGTCTCCTCAGCTCAGCCAATACATTGGTTTTCCCCTAGAACTGCTGATAGCCATCCTTATGGGTGACCCGAGGGGGCTGTGTACCTAGCAGACAAAAGGTTCTATCCTTCCACAAGTGTAGACATTGTCTCACTCTTGTCAGCTCATGTCCTTGACAGGGTAAAACTGACTTCCCTCAGACCCAGGCCTGCCCAGGATTTCTGATCTTGCCCGAGGAGGGCAAAGTTCCTCCTATCTGGCTGGAGGCTGGTTTCCTACACAGTTGGAGGAGTTTGATGCTTTTGTCACTGTGCCAAATGGGCCCAGGGTCCCTGAACAGGGGTAAGAGATATGTCACCTCCATTCAAGAAATCTATCTGTCTACAAGGGAGGCTGTGACTCTTCAGCAGTGACAGCCAGGCTGCTTGGCTCTTACCTCTTCCTAATCCTTCTCTTTGTAACCAGAATGGGTATTGCTCCTCACAGTGCCTTCCCCCAGCCTTGCAAATAGCAGCTAGCCTGGTTGCCTTGGGGTAGAGTAGTAATTCATTTTTTTGCGTAAAGCAGAATATAAAATCGGGGCGGAGTGGGTGGGAAGGGGAAATACTGGTGAATGAAAATGACTGGGCTGGTATACCATGAGCACTTAGGTAAAAATATGCTCCTACCCTCCCTCCCTATGCCCATCCCAACCAGAGTTGCCATCCCTCTTTCCCTTTGACCAGTCTCACTGTGGGGAGCTGCTCAGCACCTCAGCTTCCCCTGGGCCTGATGGAGAGTGGGTCTGGAGAAGAAAAAAATCAACAACATGCAAAACCAGAAGGAGTCTGAGCCCCACACCCGAACCCCCTCCCCCACTGGGGGGGGACAGAGATGGAGCAGCACTGGGGGATTGGTTGGGAGATACCGAGCTGGCATAGGGTAGGAAGAGCTCAGCCTTGGCTTCCCCTTTCTGAACAAATCATTGATCAACACTTTATTGTATTGAGGGAGGGGCTCCCTGAAGGTCATGGGGGGGTGGGATTGCTCTGATTATTCTGTACATATGTCCCCCCCCCTTGATGAATATGCTTTCATACGCCCCTCTCTGTCTTTAATACACTGTCCTTTCGAAGTTTGCTGGTCTGATAGTCTGCTGCTGCCATCAGCCTCACTTAAAGGCTCATCTGAGCTTCAGAAGGGAGGGAAAAGATCCCCCAAGGCCTGGGGCTCGTGCTGCCGCGAAAGGGCCAGGAGGCCATTCCTTATGGCCAGCACCCCGTCTGTCCTGACATGCTCTGTCTGCAGAAGACTGGGGATAGGGCCCCAGGAGCTTGTAAGCTAGAATGAGCTGCAAGGTACAAAGAAAATTACTGAAATGGAGGCTACTGAGGGTCAGTGGTTTTTGTTGTTTTTGTTAGTGGCTTTAGCCTGTCAGGTGGGCTGAATGGAGAACCTCCGTCACAAGGAGGCCAGTCCTGGGTACTGGGTGGGACAGAGTCTCTACCATCCTGAACTCTAGTCTGATAAAGGAGAAACACACACACACACACACACACACACACACACACACATACATACACACACAAGCATAAAGCACAGACAGACAGATATAAAACAGGCACCAGCGAAGATAGCCAAAATAGAGCCATTATATACAAATGTGGGGAGTGAAACAGAGAAGAACAACCAAAGCCAGGAGGCTTATTGTAGGAGACAGGTCCTGAATAGGGTTTGGAAGAAAAGGGATGGTGAAAAGGCACCATAAGATATTAAAACTGAAAGGGTTTGTGGCTAGTCCACATTCTTTAATTTAGAGATGAGGACACTAAGATCCAAAGAAAGGTTATGATCTACCTAAGGTCAGACAGCTAGTCAGTTGTAGAGCTGGGACAAATAGCCCAGATCTCCCAATTTCTGGTCAGGCCTTTTTCCCTGCTAGTCTGAGCATCCATCTCTGGATGTGTTTGGTGCATCCTGGCATCCTGTGTTCTGACCTTTCAGAACTGTTCAGGGGCCTGAGCAGTCTCTGAGCCAGCCCCAGGAACTTTTATTGTCCCAGCAATACTGCAGTAAGGGGTGTGAGGTTGGGTGTGTTAGGGAAAGTCAGACACACACACACACACACACACACACACACACACACACACGGTTGTCCCAGGAGAGTGATGATGCTAGGCTAAGCTGGACAGAGTCCCTGGGGAATGCGGTCTTTTAGGGATTAGTGATACCCTAAATGGCACCTGCAAGGAGGGATGTAGGATCCAGGGCAGTCCTGGGAACTGGGGTCCATCCAAGCATGTATGGATGGAGGAGCCAGGTAATGGCTGAAAAGAGATGAGCACAGCCAGACAAAAGAAGGGAGAACCAATGAGGAGAGAAGCCTGGAACCAGCTCTGAAATTCCCCCCTTGAGAAAGAAGAAATATTAGACATGTAAGGGATGTGGTTGGGAAATAATTATGACCCTCACTAGTGGGGGAGTGGTGAGGAGGGAGGTAGAGGGAGAAATGAAGAGACAGAAATAGAGACAGATAAAGGAACAGCAGGAGACAAACAGAGTAAAAGGGATGGGGAGGGAGAGGGCGTCCAGGAGGGACCAAATATATCCACGAATAGTTAACATTTCTGGGAGGCTTGAAGGTTTGCAGAACATTTGACATACATTAGCTCATTTGATCCTCACAACAATCCTGTGGGAAACGTAATACACTTATTATTATCTCTGTTTCACAGATGAGGAAATTGAGACTCAGAGGGGTTAAATCAATCACCCACCTTCACAAATCAAAAAAGTGCCAGAGCATGGATTTGGACCCAAATTGGTCTTTTCCAATTCCAGGCCCAACCCACTTCCCAGTACACCAGCCTGTCCCACTGTGGACATCTTGAGGTTGTGTCAGAAGAGGGTTCAAAGTTGAGGTTATTAAGTAGCTAGGCAGTACAGTGGAGAGAGTATTGAAGCAGGAACCTGCCTTAGGTACTTAGAGTATAATACTAGTAATATTATCTATAATATATAATGATACAATAATAACAACAATAGTTATTATTATTTTTATCCAAAATAATGTGTTTCTGATTACCCTGGGGCTAGAGCAGATGTGGAGCTCTGCAGCTAATGATTACCACCTCCACCATGGGAAATGCTATCTCAATCAATCAGCCAATTGATTGACAAATGTATCTTATCAGGCCAACCAGGAAAAGTCTTCTAAGAGAGCCCCAGGCAGGGTCCCCACTTTACCCTCATCTCCCTAGTTCTCCATTCATCATCTTTCTGGCTTGGGAAATCGTTCCTGGGACCTGAGAGGAGCCACCCCCACCCCCACCATGGGCACCCCCCTGCAACTTCCCTGGCTTATTTGGCCAAACACTGTATCTGAGAATGGTTGTGCTCATCCCAAAAAGGGCTTGGATTTTACCTAGGAAAATCTGGGGTGGGAACTGAGGGGCTGCAGGTAGAAGCAGTTTGTTCCCCTGTTTCTAAGACAGACAACAGATCCACCTGGGCTCAGTCTCTTTTTCTAGCTAGCTCTATTGGAAAGGGGAGGGGACCCTTACTTTTTCTTTCTAACTTGGAGGCAGGCCTAGCTGACTCAAGAAGGCAAAGAGGAGAAAAATCCTCAGGCACCTAGATGTGGTAACCTTCTGGAAGCTACAATAAGTGAATGAATCTATCAACAATCAATAATCAAGCACTAATTAAGCAATAATTAATAATTCTTAATTAAGCTAGCATACAGAGACTAAAGTGAAAGTCTGCCCTTGAGGGGCTTACAGTCTGGGGGCCATATGTTTAGTTATATACAAAATATATAGAAAATAGACATAAGATTATTGGTGGCAGTTGGAGAAGGAACTAGCTATGGGGAGGGTCAGGAAAGGCTGAATGTAGAAAGCGGCTCTGGCCCTTTGCTAGACACTGGGCACAGGGCTTACCTCCCTAGAGAATGGAGGAGACATCCTCTGTCTGCAGCTACTTCTAAGAGGGTCACACTAGGCTCCTAGGGAAAGATAACAGCACTTAAGGGTGGAGCCAATAAATCCTCTTCTGGGGCCCACGTGGGATTTAGCCCTGAATATCTTTCTTTTCCTGCATCAATCCCCCCGCCGCTCCATTACCATTATTACTGTGATTATAAAGCAATCAGGGAGAAATCTTTTCTTTCCAGTTCTGGAAAATGTCTCCCTCCCTCAAATAAGAGGATGAGAGTGAAGGGCCATCGGCAGCACTCAGATGGCTTGGTTATGGTGCCTGGGAGGGGGAGGATGCTCCGCCGACTGGGAGAAGGTAGAAAATGAGACGCCATTTCTCCTTCCCAGATGCTATTAGGCCTGGATTTCAGACTGCTCTGTGGTCCCTGCCTTGTGATCTCCATGCACTTTTGGTTTGGGGGTGTCCCGGGTATGGTGTGGGTGTCTCTAAGGCACCCTGTGGATGATGGTTTGGAGAGAGGGGGAGAAATGGAGGACACAGAGATTGGAAGATGGGGTGCAACAGCATGGAATAGGAAGCCCATTGAACTGACAGTCCTGAAACCCGAATTCTGCTCCTGCTCCCACTAAGAACTTGCTGGATGACTTTGGCCGAGTCTTTTTGCTTCCCCAAACTTCAGTTTCCTCATCTGAAAAATGAGGGAGCACATGGCCTCTGAGTTTTGGGATATTGGGAAAATAGATTGGGATCTGAGGTGGGCAAGGGATAGGGACTCCACCTGTGAATTTGTTGATACAGGGAACTACCAGGTGACATAACTCCTTTTGCCAATGCCATTTCATAGCTTCTCTGCCCGAGAGGTTAAGCCCGGGTTATATAGTCAGGATGGAGAGGCCAAAGGCAATACTTGTCCTTGGGTCTCCTTGGCTTTGTGGTGAGCTCTCCAGTCACTACACCATGTTTCTCGTTGCAATAAGGAGGGGGAGGAAGACAGAAATTTAGAGACAAAGGAAAAATCTAGGTCATTTTGTTACCTGTTGTGAGGCAAGAATTGTGTAATGATTTAAATGTAAGCTATTATTAGGATCATGATGGCAGAACTCTCCCAAAGTGGAGGCTCCCAAGCTGAGGCTAGATAACCCCTCATCGGGAATGTTAGAGGGCAGTCCATACTTTGGGTCAGAGGCTGGATGACACGGCCTGCTGATTCTTTAGTTTCGGAGCTTTGGGAGGCATTCCAGTCCTTCCCTCCCTCCTGGGCTGGACTCCTTCCCTCAGAAAGAACCAGATTTCTGACATTTTAGGAGCTTAAAAAATGAGAGCTGGCTGGGCCATGGAAAAACTTGGGAATTCAAGGAGTCAAATCCACCCAGTTATTAATCCCAATCCCATTCGGAGAGGATGGCTCTAGGGCAACCAGAGGACGGAGCTAGGGGCCAGGAGCATTCTGTGGTTGGGAAGGAGCCAAACTCCACCTTCTTCTGTGACACCAGGAAGCAACTGACTGCAGATCTAAGGAGTGGCCAGCAGGGGTCAGTGTTTCACTGTGAGTCAATGGCAGTGTCTCTACCTCCCCCCATCCTCTCTGCCCCTACCCAGTTCCATTTTGATGAATTCTCTCATTGGCTTTACCACCACTGTTCCTTTGCCTCCTCAAATCAACACAAGTGGCTCAGAATACATCAAACCAGGGGAAAAAGACCGAACAAGAAATGGCAATAATGATGACAGCTCATGTCTGCAAAGCTCTTTGAGCTTCCCTCAGAAAGTCTCTGTGAGGTTGGGAGTGCAGTTATAGTTATCCCCATTTTACAGAAGGCAAAAACGAGGCTCTTGAGAGGTGAAACCACTTGGGCATGAGTATATGGATAATACATTGCAGAGCTGACACTTGAACCCACAACTTCTGAATCTCAGGCCAGTGTTTTTTCATTAAACTGCAACAAAATGGAGACTTCCCCACCCCCCACCCCCAAATCAGGGAATCAACGGATTACATAGTTTCAGAGCTAGAAAGAACGTCAGAGGTATTCAAGTCCAACCTCGGTCAAAGCATGAATCCCCTCTATACCATCCTTAAAAAGTAAGACCATCTATGTTGCATAAGAAGCAATGAGAAGCCATTTAAGCTGAATTCTTCCTCACCCGCAACGTGCATCCCCATCTCATTTTATAGATGTGATAACTGAGTCTCAGAGA